CTGCAGAGCCTGCACATGCACTGGTCGGATGCCACGTTCCCTGGCCCTGCGTGGTCAGTGCCCCGAGTCCATCCCCGTGTCTGTCCTGCCGCAGGGGTCCCCACGGCGACCTGGCCTGTGCCAGTTTCTGTGGCATTGCTTTCTCGTGAGGCTGTGGGTTCGGGACCCAAGTGCTCAGAGGGCGGTGGCCGTGGGCAGTGGGGGGACGTGCGCTGTGACTGCTGTGGGGCTCTACAGTGTCTCCTCTGGGAAGGCGCTGCCAGGTCGTGGAAAAGCAGGTCTGACGCGGGACCACCTCCAAGTCCTTACGGCGAGAGCCTCCGCAGCCGCAAACCCAGTGCCCGCCGGGGCGGGAGCTGGCGTTTCTGGAATTTGGCACACGAGCCCTGCCCCTCATGGTGCCGCCGTGCAGGCACACGCTCCCTGGCCCGGTCCCGTGGGCGGCTCCCCGCTTCTCGCCCTCAGAGGGAGCTTCCTCCGTTCTGCCAGCGTCCTGGGCACCTCCTGTGCGCCGTTCCTAGGGCTCCGCCACGCCCGCCGTCCCCACCGCAGCCTGTGGTCGAGCTTGTGGGGAGCAGCCCACGCGGGGCCGGGTACGATTGTTCCCCACGGGAGGTGCGGGCCAAATGACCGTAAACCCAGTCTGTCCCCAGTGAGCAGAGGAGCGGCAGGGGCGGGCTCGGGGGATGGCCCTGGGGCTCGCCCTCCCACCCCGAGACCCGTGCTCCACGGAGGACCGTGCCCTGCTCTGGCTTGGGGCGCTCTAGGGCGCTGTGCCTCGCTCTGAGGGGATCTCGGGGCTCAGCAGTGTTGGGAATTCAGTGCCGCCCGCGGGCGGGTACAACAAGCAGGTTCTCAGCAGATTTCTGTGAACCGGACTCAGTCCTTAGGGCTCAGGCGAGCCCCACGCGGGCTCCCCGCGGCAGGAAGGGAGCGGAGCCTGCTGGGGCGGTGCGGGGACCGGTCCTGTGACCGCGCGCGGCGGCCGGCTGGGCGGGCTGCGTGGGCCGCTGCCCCTGCCGCTGTCCGTCCGCGTGGTCCTGGCAGGACGTGGGGCCGGGCTGTCTGCCCAGGTTTGTCCCCAGGCCCCTGTCGCTGGGCACACGGTCTTCGGCGTGCCCGACGCCCGGGAGCGCGGCGTGCTCAGGCTGCGCCTATGGGGTGCTGAGGGCCGGCGGGCCCCGTGCGGCTGGCGGTTTGGGGGCCTTGAGCCGTCGGCCCAAGCGGCCAGCCTGGGCTTTCCCTTCGGCGAGGGCCCTGCTAGAAGCCGTTTCCTTTCTGTTTGAACAGTTGTTTCTAAGCTTGGCTTTTGCCTCGAACGGGAGTTGGGGGCATGGGGAGTGCTTGGAGGATCCCGCGTACCTGTTGGCCCGAGTTGCCCGGGCATTGATGGCATCTCTCTGCCCCCTTCTGCCCTGCAGGGTGTCCCCGAGCCGCTGGGAGGCGAGACCACGCTTCCTCCGGCTTCACCAGCCGGCCCAGTGCCGTCCTTTCTCAGAGGAACCCCAGGCAGAAGCTGCTCTTCCCCTTCCCGACGCTGGTCTCCCAGCTTCCAGAACCTTCCGTGCCTGTCTTTGTCCACCAGGGTGTGGCGTACCTGAGGCGCAGCTTCTCTGTGGGTCCCTGTCTGGGTGGCCTCAAGCTTCCTGAAGTCTTTGCTGTCACACGTTTTCGGTTCCGGGTGTTGGCTGGCTTGTGACCCTGGTGTTTACTTGGCTTAACCGTGACCTTGGTTAGATGGGTGTGCTTGCCTGGTGACGAGCAGGTGCCACGGCCCGGGCCTCCTGTCTGCTTGTGGGTGGCGCAGGCGGCTCTACGGTCGTCCGGGGGCTTTTCCCCGCCACACTGGGTCCTCGGTGGGTGTGCCTGCCCCTGTCCTGCAGCGGGGGTTTGGGTGTGTGCTGTGAGCTTTCACTCTGACACTCGGGGTTTGGGAGACGCCGGCCCTCTTGGCGGGGGGTGTGGGTGGCGGTGAGCCCCCCGCCAGGCAGGGAGCCGCGGCCACGCCTGGGGCGCTCGCTCACACACAGGTTGGTCTTGGGCGAGGTCACCCGCGTGTCTGCAAGGGGCACCCCCGCCGGGCCCCGGTGTTCCGGGGTGGTTACTGCAGGGTTTTGCCTGTGCTCAGGGCGTGGGGCCGTTTCCTTGAGCCCCCGTGTGCGGTGATGATGGCGGTCGGTTGGAATACGGTCGTTTGTACTCTGCTTGGTGTTTTGTCCGTCCTCCTGGTCTCTTCTCGGTGTGGGAAATGGGTGCAGTTTCAGGAGCCGGTCAGGGAGCCGCTGTCCTGACAAGTGCAGGGGCCGAGGTCTGGAAGAGGCCGTGTGGCGCTGACCAGGCAGGCAGCCACGGGTGTGGGGGTGTGGGGGGTGGGTGTCACGGCTGGGACCCTGAGGGTCTGGGGGGGCCTTGGGCGGCTGGGTGTGCCATCAGGGACAGGGTGTGCCTGGATTTCGGGGGCTGTTCGGCTGGGGAGGATGGGGGTTCTCTCCTGTGCCCAGCATGGCGGCCCGCTCTTGCTAACCCTTGTCACCTTGAGCTGCTGTGGGGACGCACTGGGGACCTCCCCAGCCCCACCCCCGAGTGTCTGGGGAGGACGGTGACCAGATTCCGGCAGCTGACAGGTCTTAACAGTGACCTTGAGCTCGGACACCGTGCAGCCCAGACACAAGCGCAGTACCCACACGTGACCCTCGAGAACCCGCCGTCCCCACGGCTGGCCCTCGCAAGACCCCTGAGGCCGGCCTACCTGCTTGTGAGGCCCTTGTGGGAATTCTGTTGGGATGTTGGAGTGACAGGACCTGCCGTGAGTCCCCGCACAGCGCTGGGGGCCGCAGGGCCTGAGAACGCTAGTTGTGGAGACTTGTCCCTCCGTGCTGGGGAGCCGTCCAGTTGGCATCAGTGGTCACAGGTCAGAGGCCCAGGTGGCCCGAGCCGGTGCTGTGGGTTTGAGGGTCTCTTGCCTCACTGAGGACTGGACCCCAGGGGGGGTCCTCCTGCATGCGGGTGTCTGCCCTTCCGTAGGGTCGCCTCCTTGAACTCTGGACATCCGGGCATGAGCCCCCACTCCTTGGGGGTGGTGACTCCTAGGCAGGTACGGTGTTGGGGGACGCAGGGGGTCCCGGCAAGAAGGTGCGGTCCCCGGGCTGCTCACACCACCTGTCCCCGTCCGTGGCTTCTGCATGTGGGGCAGCATCACCGTCCCGGGTGACGTGGGGCTGCGATGGGGCTCCTGTCACCCAGGGGTTGTAGCTCGTCCCTCTGCTTGCATTTGGACCTCAGGATGCAGTGCCCGGTCTCGGGGTCTGGGTAGTGAGCCCACAGACTGGGTCGGGAGCCCACGGACTGGGTTGGGACCTGAGCACTCCGTGTTCCTGCGTGCCTGGCTGGCATCACTCCTCCTCTTGGCCCTGTGTGAGCATGCTGGCTTTCCTTTTGGGGGCGGTTCTGGCCAGGCCGTGGCCGTGAGTCCCCAGGAGTCGGGGGGCACCGTGGGACCCAAGGGACATCTCAGGACTTGACGTTCCTGAGGGGGCGGTGCTCCCAGGGCCCTCTCCTCGACCCCCTGCGGATAGTGCCTGCGCTGCCTGGGAGCCCGGCACCTGGGAGTGGGCGCTGTGTGTTTCTTGGAGGCTGAACCCCCATGACGGGCCACATCCTGTTCCTGCTTTTCCCCTGACAGCTGTGTCCACCGTGGCCCATGTCTGAGATAAGGACAGAGCCTTACTGTGTCTCGAGCCACATCTAAGCCCAAGTGCCTGCTAACGGGCCACGAGGTGCCGGGTTTTTCCTGTTCTGATGGGCACGGGGTGTCTCGGGCTGGAGGTGTCTGGTCAGCTCTGGGGTCTGTAGACATGGCTGTGTGCTGCAAGCTGGTGCCGGCCTGGAACCACCTCGCAGAAATGGGAGAATCAGCGGCCATGCCTAGGGGCTGGGCTTGGCCCGGGCCCACACGGAGGTCACCTCCTTCCTCAGAGGCACAGGGTGACGGATGTGCGGTGGGTAGGCTCTTGGTGGGGGGTTGCGGGGGTGCAGGATCCTGAGGGGGAGGCCGTGCCTGTAGGCAGGGCACCGGGTGGTGGGGCCAGGACCCCGGCTTCAGGAACAAAGGTCAGCAGTCTCCAGCCCTGGGCAGTGGGGCTCCTGCAGACTGCAGGCTTGTCTCTCGTGGGGATGCACCTCACGCGCCCCTGTGTGGGCTGCTGACCTGGCGGATGGCGCCACGGCCACAAGGTAGGCTGTCTACCCTGCGGTCAGGCCGCTGTCCCGCTGGGGTCCTGGGTGTGGTGGTAACATCCCGACCCCCAACCCTGGCATCCAGCTTTGGTCTCCAGGAGAATCAGTGGGGGCTCAACTTGGATGGAGAAGGGGGTCAGGAGGTCCTGCTGGAGGTGGGGGTCGTGCCAGGGCGTGAATGTGGCAGACCTAGGTCCGGCTTACAGGATGATGTGATTTTCCCCTGTGGGGGTCTGATATGGGGGGCGGGACACAGGGCCTGACTCGCTGTCACCATCTGTCCACACCCGGGCCACCAGTTGGCAGGGATGGGGCCCTGAGCTCTGCATTTGCTGAGCCTGTTCTGCTCCCATGTGGGCTCGCACCCACGCCTGGCCGCCTCTTGCCCTGGGCACTGCAGCCCACTCCACCCCGCCCCAGCCCTGCCCCACCTGGGACAGGGTGACCCTTCTGTCACTTAATCTCAGTCCTCGTGTCTTTGAGTCGTGTCTCATAGGTGGGGAAACTGAGGCAGGGAGGGCTGGGTTGCTCGGGCACAAGCAGCTGTCCCAGCAGCCAGGGCCACGACCCCGAGGAGCGTTGCTGGCGGGATCCCAGGCACGGGGTGATGTCTGCAGGTGACACGCGCGTTTGTGTTCTCGGGGCTCAGCGGCTGCCCCCATTGTCCTGCACCTGGCTTGGGGGAGCCAAGGGTCCTAGTGTCCCCTCAGGCCCCCCTCAGGCCCTTGGGCTTGTAAGACTGAGCTGAGTGGTCGCCCCTCCAGGAGATGGAAACCCACGAGAGAACAGCCCGTTCATCAGCCACACAGACGTGGACCAGGAGAGCTTCTTGGAAGGGAAGAACATGGCGCTTTTTGAGGTGACTTGCACTCCCTCCTCTGGGACACGCGAGACCTTGTGGTCTGCTGAGGAGCTGGGGGTGGGGTGGGGGCGCCCGCCTGACCGGACGCCGCACACCGCGGGAGCCTCTGTGGCCACCACCTGCATAGGATGGGCCGTCTGGGGAGCCCTGGACCCCTGGCTTGGGGCCTGGTGTGCACGGGTCGGGTGACGCGGGCCCACCTCAGCCCCGTGGATCACGGCTCTGGAGCTGGAAGCGCTGGGAGCCCCGTGGGAACCCCAGTGGGTGTGGGGACCCGGGGGACTAGCCCTGCCTCGGCCCCAAACAGGAGGAAATGGACAGCAACCCCATGGTGTCCTCGCTGCTCAACAAGCTGGCCAACTACACCAACCTGAGCCAGGGCGTCGTGGAGCACGAGGAGCACGAGGAGGACAGCAAGAGGCGCGAGGTCAAGGTGCGCCCTGCCCCCCGCCGGTCCTGCCCCTGTCCTCCCCCACATCCCCCCAGGCCCCATCCCATCGCCCTCTCCCACCCCATCCCTTCCACTCCTCTACTCCTTCCCCATGTCCCCCTGTCCTCACCCTCCCCCATAGCTCTGTTCCCTCCCTGGGGCCGTCCCCGAGTCCCATGAAAGGTGACTCCTTTCCTCTCTCTTGCCTGAGGCTCAGTTCAGAGTGGAAACTGTCCACCTCCACGAACGGGGGCAGGCAAAGGCAGCGTGGGGAGCAGAGGTCTGAGTGGCTGGCCTTGAGGGGTCAGCGTTTCTGCGGGGTCCCCGCCAGCTGGCTGGGGTAGCATGGGAGCTGGTGAAAGGCCTGGGTGTCCTGATGGCTGCTTCCCTGCCTGCCTCTCCCTCCTCTGTCCGCCCTGCCTGTGGTGCCAGCCTCGTGCCCGAGGTGCCAGGCCCTCGGCGCACAAAGGGGTCTGCCTGCTCCCTGAGCATGCGTGTCCAGCCTGACCTGGACCGTTAGGAAGTCGGGCCGTAGAAGGGATTTCTCACTGTAAATGCAGCAGGACAGACGCTGGGTTTCCTGACACTGGGGTGTTTGCTCTGCATTCGGCACTGAGCGGTAGACCTGGGGTGTGACTCGGCACAGCTTTGCCCTGGTCGGCTTCCTGGGGCAGAGGGCTGTGGGGACGCTGGGCCCAGGTGACACCGTGTGGGGAGCTGACAGCTGTGGGTGCTGTGGCATCGGGTACCACGCTTGCGGCTGAGATGCTCACTGGTGTGTTTCTGGGGTTTTGCTCCTTCCCGGGCACTGCCTGGGGCTTCTTGGGCTCTTCTCGGGCCCAGATGTTGGGAGGCGCAGGCCTTTCCCATGCAGTCGGCACACGTCTGTCCCTCTGTGTGCTGGAGCTTGTGTCCCAGGGCACCGTCCGCTGCTTTCAGGAATGGGGCTTTCCTGTGGGTGGCCTGGGTCTTACTGCTTCTTAGAACCCTCCTGTGGCCCCTGCCATCTTCCCCCCGCTGTCCCCCTGCTGTCCCCAACTGCCCCCCTACTGTCCCCTGCTGTCCCCACTGCCCTCCGCTGTCCCCCACTGCCCCCGCTGTCCCCTGTTGCCTGGCACAGCCCAGCACCGTCTTCAGAAGTGCACCCCTAGGCTTCTGGGCGTGTCTGCCAAGATGTCGTCTAAGCGTCCGCGGGGGTGAGTCTGCAGAGCACGTGGCTTGGTGCCATGGCCACATTGGGACTGGGAGGTCCTGTCCCTGAGGCAGGGGCCCTGTCTGGTGTCTCTTCCCTGGGGGCGCAGGGGCAGGGCTGCGGTCACAGCGGTGCAGCATAGCTTTCCTGGAGACAGGCAGATGGGTTCTGGGTGGGATGAATCAGCAACCCCACTCGGGGCTGACTAGGTCCTGGGGTGTGGGGACTGCCCTTCCTGTCTCTGTGTCCCTCCGGACACAGGAGCTTGTGCCCAGAGACCAGCCCCCACTGCAGGGTACCATTTCCGGGGCTCATCACGTCAGCCAGGCTGGTCTATCAGAGTTGCCTGTAGGAGAGAATGGGAGGCCTGGCCTGCCTGGTGACTTGGGTCTCCCCTGGGACCCCTCCAGGAGCTCACAGAGAATTAGGTGCCCCATGGGGGGGCAGGTGTGGACTGGGAGCGCCACACTGGGGGATCCCTCGGTGCTCAGTGGCCCTGCCCCGTCCCGGCGTGGGGACAGGCGTTCTGGGTGCACACCAGTCCTTGGCCCCGGGAAGCCCGCCTGCCTCCCTGAGTGTGGGTGCAGCCTGCTGGGGCTGGCGAGCCCGCAGAGCCTTCTCCCGCGCCCTTGACGTCTCGTGCCTTCCTGTAGCTCTTCGCTGGTAGCAAATGTCTCCAAAGCAAATCCCCAGTTGTGCCGATTTTGTTCACCTTCCCGTGGAGCATCGTCTCGCCTTCTCTGGTGGCTCGTCGGCCCCGAGATCTTGGGTGTGCCCCCTGCCTGCGGTGTCTCGCCTGCTGCAGGGCAGGACAGGCTGGGACCCGGCGCCGTCTGCCCTCATGCTGGCTTCTGGCCTGGTTGCTGCCCACCCGGCTGGTGTGCCGAGCCTTGGGACCTCCAGGATCTCAGAGGACACCCTGTTGGGCACCTCCCAGCACCGCGTCCCAAGTCCCCCAGCTCAACGCAGCTGCACGTCCCGTCTGAACTCTTCCCACGGGTTCAGGGTACGGCAGACTCTGCGGAACTTGGCTCTGTGGGGCCCTTGATGCAGTTGGGGAGCAGCTTCCCGTCTTCCTCCTGCGTCAGTGGCCGCCTGGGCCTCTGCAGCCCTGACCTGTTGTCCGCCGGACGGGGCCTGGCTCGTCCTGCTCTCAGCTTCCCCGATGTGGCCGTGGCTGCCCTTGTGGCGCCCCGTCCCGCTCCCTGGCAGTGTCATGGTCTCAGGTCTTCCCGGAACCCACGCTCCGGAGGATTTCTCCCAAAGCCTCCCTTCGCAGTGGCCCGGCTTCCTCCCGCGCAGCCGGAGCGTGCCCCCCGCATCCCAGCCGCGGCCCCCGGGCTCCCGGGCACCGCTGTGCTCTCTTCCAGAGCCCGCGCATGGGCACCTTCATCGGCGTCTACCTGCCCTGCCTGCAGAACATCCTGGGCGTGATCCTCTTCCTGCGGCTCACGTGGATCGTGGGCGCGGCCGGCGTGCTTGAGTCCTTCCTCATCGTCTCCGTGTGCTGCACCTGCGTGAGTCCCCAGAGCCCCGCGCACAGCACCCCGCCCTCCCCCCACCGCTCCTGGCTCGGCCGTGGCTCCCGCGCGTCCTGGGCTCTCCTGCCTTGCTCTCGCTGTGGGGAGCGGACCTCGGCCCCTCTGGTCCCCCAGGCGTCCCCCGGAGGGCTCCAGCCCAAGGGTTCAGGCCCCACGGCCCATCCCCCTGCGGCTTCACGGGTGGGGCCATCTCAGCTGCGTCCCCTGGCATACTCTGGACACGTCTGGAGAAATTGCCGTAACACCAGAGAAAAGGCGGGGGAAGACCAGGGACTTCTTGAGGGAGCAGGCATGCCTGCTAGGACCCCCGGCCAAGGCTGCACCCGGCAGGACCGCAGTGACCACTGAGGCCCTGAGCTTTCCCAAGGCCGTTCGTTTTGGCCCTTTGGTTGCAAACTGCCCACCAGCCTGTGGTGTGGCTGCTTCCTGAGCCAGGTGGGAGCTCGAGGCAGCCCCCCAGGACAGCTCGGAACGTTCTGCATCCATTGTCCAGAGCAGGTGCTCTGATGGGGTCCCCCATGCACCCCCGGGCAGCGGGCACCCAGATGGGGTCCCCTACATACCCCACAGTGGGTAAGCATGCAGACAGGTTCCCCGTACCCCACAGCGCCCAGACACGGTCCCCCGTACTTCACGGTGGACGGGTGCCCAGCCTTTCATTCCAGGTGGGGTCCCGAGCTAGGTACTCCTGGGTGTCCTGTAGGAGCTCAGCTTTGTCAGTCGAGGGGGAAAACAGGCGTAGCCCTGAGCGTCCTGGAGCCTGTCTTCCTGCCTGTGGGACAGCCTGTCTGTGATGGGGCCAGGTGTAGCCCCAAAGTGGCCTCTCTTCTGAGAGGATCACCTGTGTCTTTGCAGACGATGCTGACTGCCATCTCCATGAGTGCCATCGCCACCAACGGTGTGGTCCCAGGTAAGGGTGCCAGGGCAGGCCGCGTAGGGTCCCGAGTTGAGCCGTGCTGGGGACCCAACCGCTGGCCTCTGCTGAGGTGGCCGGCATTCTGCCCCAGAGGGCCCCAGTGTGCCCGTGCCCTCACCCGCCTGCTGGCCAGCCCAGAGAACAGACCTCCACATCTGGCGGGCAGAGGTACGGAGAGGCAGGCGGGCTGGGGACACCCTCAGCACAGCCAGCTCTCCCGGATGCCCTGTCCGCAGGGACCCTGCCTCCAGGCGGAGGTGCTCGTGGGTTCCTGGCTCTCAGCGGTGCACGGACGCACCGAGAGCTGGTGCTTGGTGTCCTGGGTGTCTTCCCCAAGGGCACTGTGGGCCTTCCCAAGACCAAGGCGCACCCTTGTCCCCAGTGCCTGACCCCGCTCTCAGAGCTGCTGTGACAGTGGGACTCTGCCCCCGTGGGGACGGTGCTTCCTTAGGAAATCTCGCATCAGCTCCGTGGTCGGAGACGCTTCCTGCTCCTGGTTCTGGAGTTAATTTCTCGCAGACCCTTGTTATTTAGAAACCAGCTGAAGCGCCACCGTGGGCGGGGACAGCCTTCAGTCTGTGGGGAGCTTCCTTGGCCTCGGAGCCCTGAGGCTCGGCTGCCTGTAGGGACCGCGGCGGCTTGGGTGAGCGGGAGCTGCAGGCCAGGACAGGGAGGGACTGTGCTGCGCCTCCAGGTTCTGGGGAGGCCGCCGGTGTGGCCAGTGTGGATCCACAGTGGCCGTGTCCCCGTCCACTGGCCGAGCCGCCTGGCCTTGGGGTCTGGGGTTGGCCGTGCTCTGGTGCACACGGTGCCCAGCAGCCGCAGACTTCGTGGCCTTTATGGGGCGAAGCGCACAGAACCGCGGTGTTGGGCTCCGCGCGGGCATCGCGGTAAAGCGGGCGACGCCAACTGCTGCTCCCTGTCCCGTTGGCAGCCGGTGGCTCGTACTACATGATATCACGGTCTTTGGGGCCTGAGTTCGGGGGCGCCGTGGGCCTCTGCTTCTACCTGGGCACGACCTTCGCCGGGGCCATGTATATTTTGGGGACCATTGAGATTTTTTTGGTAAGTTCTTGTTTTGGGTTGGTTTTCTGGATGCCGAGGAGTCCCTCCTGAGGCACACGGACCCCCACAACGGGCCCCCTCACTCTGACACCTGCCTCCTTGGGCTCTCAGGGGCCTGGCTGCGTCCCTCTCCTGGTGCCGGGCCGTGGATGATGGCAGTGACCCGAGGTCTGTCCCTTGGCTGCCTCACTGTCCGTGCTGGCCGTGGCTGGTGGCAGTGACCAGGGCCCCCCAGCTGCCCTTCGGTTCGGCCACCAGGGCTCTTGCCAGGCTGACATCTGGGTGTGTGATGGGCTGTAGCCCCGAGTGGAGGGCCGGCCAGGAGACGGCTCCTCAGTGAGGAATCGGTCCATCCTCTTGCACACAGTAGGGCCCCCCAGAGACGAGCTCCCTCCCAGGTTGTTAGGTCGTGGTGGCCCCCGGCCTGCAAGGTGAGCTGAGGCTGCCCAGGGGCTGGCGTCCACAACACGGGCTGCAGGGGCAGCGTCTCTGAGCCTCCATGTCTGTCCGCTGTCCAGGGCCCGCTGTCAACGCGTCCGGGCGGGTGGGCCCACAGCAGGGGAGGGCCCAGCCCTGCAGACAGAGGCACCGGCCCTGCGGGGCCACCGTCCAGGTGTGGGGGGTTGGCAGCCCTCCTCGACACCCTCTGTGCTCTGCAGACCTACATCTCCCCCGGCGCGGCCATCATCCAGGCGGAGACAGCAGAAGGCGAGGCCGCGGCCATGCTCCACAACATGCGTGTGTATGGGACGTGCACGCTGGCGCTCATGGCCATGGTGGTCTTTGTGGGTGTCAAGTACGTCAATAAGCTGGCCCTGGTGTTCCTGGCCTGCGTGGTGCTGTCCATTCTCGCCATCTACGCCGGCGTCATCAAGACCGCCTTCGACCCGCCAGACATCCCGTGAGTCTGGGGCCTGGGCAGCGAGTTCTCCAGCCTCACGTGTGCCTGTGACCATGTGGGCGGTCTGGGTGGCCGTGCTGGGGGTGCGGACGGCTCTGCTCTGGCCCGGCTCAGGGCTGAGCCCACAGGGTTCTTGTGTGGCTGTGCCGTCTGCACAGGTGGGATGGGTCTGGTGACGGTCAAGGTCAATGGGGACTGCTGATCACAAGGGCATTCAGGTAGCCCTGAGCTCCTCGTGGGGTGGCCCATCCCCCCGTGCTCCCTGTACCCTGGCTCCCCTGGTCCTCCCAGGAACCCCCGTGGGTTCTTTTCTGTCTGTCCTCTGGATGTGGAGCCTAAGTCTCAAGGAAGGGGGCTAAGGTCACAGAACAGGGGAGCGGGCTGTGGTCTGTCAGGCTGGCATGTGGGTCCCACACCCACAGGGCTGACGCTGTAGGGGCCTGGCCAGCTGGGTGGTGGTCAGTGCCGACCCCTCCCGGCTCCTTGTGCGGAGGGAGACGCCGGCATCAGACGCCCCAGCTTGTGCCGAGCTCTGCACTGCACTGGGCCGAGCCTGGAACGGGAGCAGGATTGCGAGGGACCGCTGGGGTCCTGCTGCGGCACCCGCCCCGCACAGCTCACGTGGCCTTCCTGGCGCCCAGGGTGGAGTGACAAGTGGCTTTGCTGTGCCCAACGCCAGTGGCCCGAGAAGGGCCTGTGCGCCCCCCTCACGCCAGACCCCCGCCTTAGGGTCTGTCTGCTGGGGAACCGTACCTTGTCTAGACGCGGCTTCGACCTGTGTGCCAAGTTCCACGCTGCCAACAACGGCACGGTGCCCACCGCCCTCTGGGGCCTCTTCTGCAACACCTCCATGCCCAACGCCAGCTGCGACGAGTACTTCGCCCAGAACAACCTCACGGAGATCCAGGGCATCCCTGGCGTGGCTAGTGGTGTCCTGCTGGGTGAGTGCCCCGGGGTTCCGCGTGGGGCCACAGGCAGCCGACCCTTCTTCCTCAGGGTTTGCTGCCGGGCGCACACAGGGTTGTGGTAGGGATGACGGGGCTTGTCTGGTTCTTCTGGGACAGGTTGTGTTTCCTCCCGTCGGGTGGAAGCCCATGGGAGCTGGTCAGTGGTTCGCCCCCGCTGCCTTCCGGAGTCTTACCACTGGCCTGTTGCTTGCAGATAACCTGTGGAGCACGTATGCGGACAAGGGAGCGTTGGTGGAGAGGAAAGGCTCGCTGTCGGTGTCTGTGCAGGAGGAGAGCAGGACCAGTGGCCTGCCCTATGTCCTCACTGACATCATGACGTACTTCACCGTGCTGGTCGGCATCTACTTCCCATCTGTGACTGGTGAGGCCCCGTCCTGTGCCGCTGCGGTGCACACCTGCCCCCGTCCCATAGGCAGCGGGCCTTGGGGTCTCTGCTCCCTGCATGCTGATTGGGGTGTGGGAAGGAGTTTTGTCCTGAGCACCCCCCGTGGAGCTGTCTCACTCAAAGTCACAGACCGTGGTGGCTACACGTGGACCCTCGGGTCGTGCTTATGCGACAGTCGGCTGACCTTCTGGGACAACCCTTGGCACGCACTGGTGCCTCACCCCCGCCGGGATGCCCTTTGGCGGCCCCCGCGTGGCCTGGCGCCTGCAGCCGTCTGCGTGTCTGGCCTCTGCTGGGCCCTTTGGCTGCCGCCTGGGCTTCCCCTCCCCAAGCCGGAACTCCGCGGCTCAGGGGCTAGGTGCGGGTCCCCGGTGCGTCTCTTCAGTCCCGCGGCACCCTCTCCGTGGGTCGTGGGCTTGGCGGGCAGCATTCGGCGGGTTTGTGGTCACCGTGGGCCCTTCGGCGATTTCTGTAGGTATCATGGCGGGCTCGAACCGGTCTGGGGACCTCAGGGACGCCCAGAAGTCGATCCCCACAGGGACCATCCTGGCCATTGTGACGACGTCCTTCATCTGTATCCTCAGAGGGGCCGAGGTGCGGGAGCCCATGCTCTGCCCGCTGTCGCCCCAGGGTTGAGGAGCCAGCTGGCGTCTGCCTGCTGGAGGACAGTGAAGACGCCACAGGGACGCCACCCTCTCGGCTGGCTGCGCACGAGCCGTTCTCTCTAAACTGCGGGTAGCCCCCGTGTCATCAAAGCTGACATGTGGCAGCGACCCATGACTGCAGGCATGGTGCGTGGGGCCCGTGTACAGTCACGGCGGTGGCATGCTGGCTGCCACGCTCTGTCTCTGCTGGGCTCCCGTGGCCGTGATGCCACGGGCCGTGTGCAGCCTGACCCACGGTAGTCAGGGTGGGACAGTGATGAAGTCACTCTGAGGGCTGTGGGGTCACAGCAGTGCGCTGGGCTGGAGCAGGATGGGTGCAGGCCATTTCAGGCGCATCTGCAACCAGGACCTTGCGGATGACGCCGGGTCCACCGTTTCCTTGACACCCGACACAGACCTGTCCTGCATCGTGCTCTTTGGGGCCTGCATTGAAGGCGTGGTCTTACGAGATAAGTATGTTGGTTTGCGTTTGCGGCTTCTGTAAGCTTTCGGGTCAGCATCTGTTTTCTCATAGACGATGGTAGCGTTGACCTTGGGACCTCCCCCAGGATTTGAGGCTTTGAGGGGAGAGCAGGAAGCCCTGTGGCCCCTCTTGGGGGCTTCTGTTCAGCTCGTGGTGTGTGTCCTGTCCTGCTTCAGCCTGGAGCAGGGGAGCTCTCTCCCTGAGAGCGTGGGAGTGCTGCCCCAGACAACAGGGCTGTGCCAGCGCCCATTCTCAGGAGTGACGTGGTTCCCTGCTCGTGAGAGAGGACAGTTAGGGTGGTAGTGCCTTCATTCTGGCTCAAAACGTGGGAAGACGTTTATGTTTTCAGCTGGTATCTGAAAGCCTGCCCGCCTGCAGGTTCGGGGAGGCCCTGCAGGGGAAGCTGGTCATCGGCATGCTGGCCTGGCCGTCCCCCTGGGTCATCGTCATAGGCTCCTTCTTCTCGACCTGCGGAGCCGGCCTGCAGAGCCTCACGGGGGCACCACGCCTGCTGCAAGCTATCGCCCGTGACGGCATCATCCCCTTCCTGCAGGTGAGCGGGGTGGCCGCCCAGAGAGCAGGGACCTGCAGGAAGGGGTGTGTCTCCGGGTCTTGAGTGTGTGTCCAGAGCTCGAGCTTCACGGTTAATGGACCCGCATCCCCACTGCCGGCAGTCCTGCCCCAGGTGGTCACGGGCTGAGGGTGCAGGTGCGTGTGGGAGTGGGGCGGGGAATGGCCCCTCTCCCCCAGGGCTGTGGGAGCAACGCAGGGAGCCCCCACCTCCTGCAGGGCCAGCATCCATCCTGCTGGGATGCAGTGTCCTCCCCCGAGGTCGGAGGCTTCTGGAATGAGCTCGAGGGGCTGATGCCTTAGTGTCTTGGGGCCAGTGCCTCAGAGGCCACAGGCTAGGGCTCAGACAACCCATGATTTGCTCACATTTTGGGAGCAGGAAGTTGCAGACACAGGTGTGGGCAGGGCAAGTTTGTCTTCGGTTATAGACACCACCTGCCCCGAGTCTGCACCTGGCCTTCCTGTGCTTCTGTCTCCGTCTTTTCTCACAAGGACGTCGGTCATCTGGGTTAGGGCTTCCCGGCGGGCTGAGTCACTGTAAAGCTCACATCTGTAAACACAAGTCGAGTCCCTTTTGAGGGGCTGGGGCCGGGGTTTCTCTGTGGGGCTCTGGGGCATGGAAGGCCCCTTTGTCATCTGGGTGTGGGGCCGGTCTCCCTGCTCTGGGGTGCAGTCTTCACCTCCGCTCCCGGGAGGGTTCCAGCGGACTCCACAGCTCCCATCGTGGGCTTAGGTGCAGACAAGGTCACATGCTGGCTGCCCCGGGACCCTGGATCGGGCATTGCTGTCAGGAGTGAAGGTGGCAGTCGCAGTGTCCCTGGTGCCCCAGCCCCCATGTTTGTTTCTGGGGTCCTCACATGTGTCTCTGCAGTGTGCTGTGCAGGTCCCTCCCCAGAGCCCCCAGGCAGCAGGGACTGTGCTAGAAAAGCGTTGGAAGCTGGAGTCCTAGAGACAGGCGTGGCCTCCACGTGGTCCTCCCTGTGTGGCCAAGGACGAAGGGTCCAGGCCCCTTGCAGGGGGGCCTAGTGGAGTTCTCAGTACCTGTTCCATGGGGACCCTGCATCTCCCCCTGCGAGGCTGGCCTTAGGATGCCCGGGAAGCTGCCCTCCAGCACATGGAGGGGTCACCTTCGCCCCCCACCTGAGCGCTGGGAGGCCTGGTGGTGGCTCTGGATGCTGGGTTTTCCTGTTGCCTGAGCTGGGGAGGGTCCAGGAGGCTCCGTCCTCTCCGAGCCGCGCTGGGGCTGCACGTGAGATGCTGGGCTTCTGGAACGCGGGTGGTTGCTCCCGTGGCATCTGCCCTGTGCCCGCAGCCCACCTGCTCTCTCCTGCAGGTGTTTGGCCACGGTAAGGCCAATGGGGAGCCCACGTGGGCCCTGCTGCTCACGGCCCTCATCTGCGAGACGGGCATCCTGATCGCCTCCCTGGACAGCGTGGCCCCCATCCTGTCCATGTGAGTGGCTGCGGGCACAGCAGGAGGTGCGAGGCGACGGGCCACGGAGATGGGGCTGCCGCTTGTCCACGAGGAGGCGTATGCGGCCCTGCTCTGGGGAGAGTGGATGCACATGGTCATGGGAGCCACGTGACCCTCGTGGAACGGTGCCGTGGATGGGAGGGGGACGGGAGGGACCGTGCTGTAGTGGGAAGGGTGGGAAGACCATGTAGCTCCTGAAGGCTGGGACCATGGGACCTGACCTGGCTTCTGTGGTCCTGGCGTTGGGCCTCCAGGTTTTTCCTCATGTGCTACATGTTCGTGAACCTGGCGTGCGCCGTGCAGACCCTGCTGCGAACACCTAACTGGCGTCCACGTTTCAGATACTACCACTGGTGAGCAGGCCCGCTGGCCACAGGGGCCCTGATGGTCTCTGTAGAACCGGCTGCAGCCAAGCTGGGGCGGACCCAGGGCCTGGGTGGGTCACCCAGGCCCCTCAGGCATCCAGTGGGACACGGTCCCCGCTGGGGCCTCAGCCTCAGCACCTGTTACTGTGGGCTGCTCAGTCTCCGTGCCGCCAGGGTGCATGGCGGATATGGGAAGCCCACTGTGCGTTGTGGCCCGTGGGGTGCTCCAGTGCCCTGGGAAGGGGGGCGGGGGCACGTGGTCGCCTGTGTCACTGCTGCTGCCTTGTCGCAGCTGAGTGGAGTCCTCGTTCAGGGGTCCTGGGTGTGGCAGGCGAGCGACTGTGTGTCCTTCCAGGGCGCTGTCCTTCCTGGGAATGAGCCTGTGCCTCGCGCTCATGTTCATCTGCTCATGGTACTACGCGCTCGTCGCCATGCTCATCGCGGGGTGCATCTACAAGTACATCGAGTACCGCGGGTGAGCGCCGTGGCCAGGGGCCGGGCTCCCTGCGGGGTGTCCGCGTGGGCTCTGCGTCACCTGGCGTGGGGGGGGTGTGGGGTGTCCCTATGGGGTCGGCATAGCCCAGGGGATTGGGGACCCTCACAGCGAGAGTCAGACCCCTGTCCCAGGGCCCAGCTGGGCTGCTCTGTCCAGCCGCATGCCTCTGTCCCGGCAGGGGAGACCCGCGTTTGTTACTTTGAATCGATTCCTTGCTACTTGTGACACTTCTGAGAACTTCGAAATCTGTCCGACGAGAGCAGTGACGTGTGATAGATTTCAGAATTTCCCAAAAGTGCACTGCATCCCAGAGCACATCCCAGCGCACCCGGTCCATCCCTGTGGCATTTCTTTGGAGGGTGGGGTCAGAGGGGTCCTGGCCACTGCCTGGAGGCCCCCTTCCAGCTCTTCCCAGGTTGGTCAAGGAGTGTCGGGATGTGACCACTCCTGGTGAGGCCAGGGCCACCGAGCCAGCTGCGCTTGTCAGTGTCCCCCGTGTCCACACAGACCCCACACCGGCTGCTCCGGGAGGCTGCCCCAGGAGGCCTGTGGTCCAATGAAGCTCTGGGCCCTGGCCCTGGGGTCCCTTCACGAGTACCTCACTGCTGCCCCTTCCTCACAGGGCCGAGAAGGAGTGGGGTGATGGCATCAGGGGGCTGTCACTAAACGCAGCCCACTATGCCCTGCTGCGTGTGGAGCACGGCCCCCCCCACACCAAGAACTGGAGGTGAGCACCCCAGCCTTCCCAACCGGCCTCACGCCCTCTGAAGGCACGGAGTGTCGTCTCTAGTCTTACGCTTCAGAGACAAAAGACATTGCTGCTGCTTTTTGGGAGTGGTTATTTTGAGAGTTTCTAGCACCTTCCTTCACTTCACAGTGGTGGGCCGGGGCGTGGTCAGCGTGCCTCTGGGCACCAGGCCTGACCCAGGTAGTGTGGTGAGTGGGGCACGGGCTGAGTTGCCCTCCCTGGGGTCCTGCCAAGGAAGGGAGTAAGCGTGTGGGCCGCCAGCCGCGTGTCCGTGCTTCTGGGAGGACGGGGATGATCTCTGTGCTGAGAGGCGCCCGGAGGCTGGGCTGGCCTGTCCCCTGCTAGAGAGTGCAGGGTGACCGTCGCCTGTGCCGCAGGCCCCAGGTGCTGGTCATGCTGAGCCTTGACGAGGAGCAGCGCGTGAAGCACCCCCGCCTCCTGTCGCTCACCGCCCAGCTCAAGGCCGGCAAGGGCCTGACCATCGTGGGCTCCGTGCTGGAGGGCACCTACCTGGACAAGCACGTGGAGGCCCAGAGGGCCGAGGAGGTGGGCAGGCGTGGCGGGGCCGGCCGGCGGGCAGCGTGGGGACAATGGGCAGGTGAGGGCGGCGTCCGCTGCCTGCCCTGTGCAGGGAGGTCGGACCAGCAGGTTCTGCACGGTTGAGGCTCTACGCCTGTGAGCACGGCCTTGTGTGTTGGCCCGCCGACTGGTTTTGTGGAGGACCGTGGTTTCTGGGTTCGGTCAGGACTGCACTGAGACACGGGGTGGAGCATCTGCAGGTTGGAGGCCCTGGCCCTGGAGACGTCTGCCCACCAGCTCGCTCCCCTGTGCCCCCCACAACTCGGCCTGGGCTCTGTCCCTTGCTGGTCCGTGCTCCCCTCTCACCCGTGCAGGCGGCGCAGCTCAGTCTCTTGTTCTCGGGTGCGTCCCTGTCGCCGGATGGCGGAGCAGCCCCGCGTCGGGGTGGGCTGCTGTGTCCACACGTCTGTGCATCCGAATCAGGCTGCAGCCAGAGGCTCCCTGGGTCCGCGCAGGGCGTGCAGGGCAGTGGTGTGTGAACTTCCTGGCTCCTTCCTCCGCCAGACAGCCAGCTCCTTGCTGTCGCCGGCTTGTGGGTTCAGCCCAGTCCCGGGAGGCCACAGATGTGCTCGGTGCTGCTCCATGTCCCCGAAGCTCCACTGTTCTCCACGGGACCCCAAGCCCGTGGGTTCTGGACTGGAGATTGCTGACCACAAGCTGTGGGTTCAGACGTTGTTGTCCTTGTGCTCTCCACGCTATCGTGTCTTTGGCGGGACAGCCACTCACTGGGTGGGCATTGGCCACGTGGATGGCCTCGTGCGTGTGGCGACAAGCTCCGGCCCCAAGCCGCTGCGGTGTGCGAGAGGCCATGGTGTGGTTCGGAGCATGAGGGCCGCGGGGTCGCCGGCTGCAGCTCTCCCCGCTGTGGGGGTGGGGGGTGTCCGTGGCTTGGGTCGCTTGTGGTGTGGCTGCATTCCCCGTCCGTTCCCCTTGTGAGACAGGGACTGCTGTCCGTGCACACGCCCAGGCCTGGACTTCTCTGGTTTTGCCCACAAAATCGCGTTTCCCGTGGCGTTGGCGGTGAGACACCGGTTTCCCCTGTGAGCACCATGTGTGTTGGTGTCAGCTTCGCGGCCTGTCGTGTGCGTGTCTGGGCTTCTGTGCCTCGAGGCCCCTGCGCTCGTGCTGGGAGGGTTTCTGGGGTCTCCGTGTTGTGAGCGGTCTGGTAAGTAGCCCGTGGACTCGTCTCGTTTGCCGCGGGATTGTTTGTAGGAGGACGTCATGGGGTCAGTGGTGGCGTGGACTCCCGGAGTCTGCGCCAGATTCCGCTTTTCTGGTCCACCTGGCAGTCTGCGTGAGCGTGTCTGAGGGACTGCTGTGGCCCCACTCTGTCGTGTCTTGGTGGCTTGGACCTGTCCCCGCACCGGGAGTCTAGAGAGCACGTGTGAGGTGGTCCAGCTGGGTTTCACCCCAGACATGCAGCCCCAGTGGGGGCCCAGAGCCATGGTGTCCCTGAAGGGAGGGGAGCCCCGTCCGTGGGCGTGGTGGAGCAGTGGCTGTCTCGGGACAAGGATCCAGGTTTGCCACCTGGCCCGATTCCTGGACTGACCAGGAGCATCTCAGCTCGGGTGGGGGGCACATGGCATTCATCCCGCCATATAAGTGGCAGCAGCTGGCTGGGCCTGACCTTGTCCCCCACCTTTCCCACCGTTGTTTGGTGTCCCTGCTCACTGAGTGGGGCCTTCTCGGGGAAGGGCCAGGCTGGCTCCCGTTGGGATGTAGCCTCCGTGGAGCTGGCTCATGGGCCAGCCAACATGTGGGGAAGGGGGAGTTCGTCCCATCTCCCGGGGGCATGAGCAAGGTGGCGTTCCAGAGGCTGGGGGCCATATGCGGTTGGCCCCCCAGTTTCCCGAGAAGGCACCGACCCAGCTTGTCTCCCCAGAACATCCGCTCTTTGATGGGCGTGGAGAAGACCAAGGGCTTCTGCCAGCTCGTGGTGTCCTCCAACCTGAGGGACGGCATGTCCCACTTGATCCAGTCGGCCGGCCTGGGGGGCATGACGCACAACACGGTGCTCATGGCCTGGCCCGAGTCCTGGAAGCAGGAGGACAACACTTTCTCCTGGAAGAACTTTGTGGGTGGGTACTGCGCTCAGGCCCGTGGGCCATGTGGGGTCCCGTGGGAAAGCAGCCCGTGGTTCGGTAGCCTCACTGCCGGGTGGGCCAGCCCTGCGGTGTGGCGGATCCCGGGGGTCCCGCCCCTCTCAGGCTGGTGGCACCATGGCTGGCCGGGGTGGGCTGCCTTCAGCGTGCGGCCAGTTGGGGCTTCACGGGGACGCCGTGGCCTTGCCTGCCTCCCGTGCCGGCCGGAGCCCGCAAGTCCACGGGGCGACCTGCTTCTCCACAGAAACTGTCCGAGACACCACGGCTGCCCAGCAGGCCCTGCTTGTGGCCAAAAACGTGGACCTGTTTCCACAAAACCAGGAGCGCTTCAGCGACGGGGACATCGACGTGTGGTGGGTGGTGCACGACGGGGGCCTCCTCATGCTGCTGCCCTTCCTGCTGCGGCAGCACAAGGTGGGTGGGGCCGGGGTGCGGATGGGGGCAGGGTCTGTGGTGGCGATTGGGCGGCGGGGTCCCAGGGCAGCATGGGGGCAGGACTGGTTGGGGGCAGGGTCTGTGGCGGGGGCGGGGCTCGCCAGCTGATCGGTTGCCAGCCCCGCCCCGCCCCGCCCCGCTCACAGGTGTGGAGGAAGTGCCGCATGCGCATCTTCACGGTGGCCCAGGTGGATGACAACAGCATCCAGATGAAGAAGGACCTGCAGATGTTCCTGTACCACCTGAGGATCAGTGCGGAGGTGGAGGTGGTGGAGATGGTGAGGCGGTCTGCGGGGTTCCCTGAGGTTCTGAGCCCGCTGCCCTCGTGCGCCTGCCCGGGACCCACGCTCCGTGGCTCCTCTGGGCCGCGGCCAGTTTGCGGAGCTGTGGCGCGTTGTGTAGACTGTGCCTTGGTTTACCCTGGCCGGGCTCAGGGCTGCCCTGGGCTGACGGGTTTAGAGCAGAGGGACGCACCCTCCTCAGTGTGTCCTGCGGGCAGCCGTGGCAGCCGTGGCAGCCGGCCCATCGCAGGTCATGAACCTGTGGTCCAGGCTCCTGGTCTACAAATTCCCAGTGTTCCGACTGCAGACCGTGCCCTGGAGCGGGCCCCCTGGGGCAGGGGCGCGCTCTCCTGCCAGCAGCATCTCTCAGCGTGGCTTCCCCCGGTCATGTCCACGTGCACTCATGCGACCTCCCCACCTCAGGCCTTACACTGGATCATGTGGTGTTTCCGTTGCGCTATGCTGCCGTGGGCTCCCTGGCGTCTTCGAGGTGGCTCCTCTGTTCCTCTGTCCCTTGCTGTCACTTTGCCAGCCCTTCCCGTCCGTGTTCAGTGTCTTATGTGACTGGGTCCTGGGAGCTGGATAGGACCGAGGTGGAGGCAGTCGGGCGGGTGTGGCAGGATCGCACCATGGGGCATGAACACGCGTGATTTTACAGTAACTGCAGTTCTTTTAATATTTGAGACTTAAATTTTATTTACTTGAAAGACAGAGTTGGCGGCGGAGCACGGGCAGGGAGAAGAGGGAGAGGCAGACTCCCTGATCCCAGGACCCCGGGATCGGGACCCAAGCCGAAGGCAGACGCTTCGCTGCAGCCCCCCAGGCGCCCTGTAGTTGTGTTTTAAAGCTGCTGATTTCACTCAGGTTCCCAAGTTGTACTTGGTGCATAATTACTTGCCGCAAAAATCCGTGGCCCTGCTTGATTTCAGTCTCAGAAGTTTCGCTGGGAGTGGCGTTAAGGGACGCGGTGCCTCTATTTCGTGAGACTGGGCCACTGTCCTGCCGCACGTGGCCACACATGCCTGTGGGAGCCGTGAGCAGACCGTGGCTGGAACCCGCCTCTCCAGGTCCTTCCACTGGGAGGTGGGCAGGGTCCCTGCGCTGCTTCTGGGCCAGCCTCCACCCTGTGCCCCGCTCACCAGCACAGCCCGCCCACCTCCATGGATAGCGAGGGCCCAGGGCGCCGTTCTCGGGAGGCAGGGAGCCCCGTGGCGAAGGGGAGGCCAGTGTCGAATGCCAGCCAGGGTCCCTAATGAGGGAGATGACTTTGGTCAGCGTGACTTAGAAAAAGCCGTCCGAGCCCGGGCGTGTGGGCAGGAAGGGTTTGGGCTTATCGTTAACATCTGTTTCACAATGAGCAGAGTTCACAGATCTTGTAAGGAGCTCCAGGGGAGTCAGGGTCCGTGGCTGTCTGGCTGGCAGAGTTGGTTTCCTGGGCCACAACCAGCCCCCGTGAATGTCCCCAGAGGTCGGCAATAGGTGGCTGCCCACGCCCATCTCCCTTTCTGGAAAGCTGGTGCTGGAGCCCAAGTGTCAGAGGCAGGAGATGTTTGTGTGGACGATGTCCCCCAACTGTCTGGAAGACCCGAGAAAAGACAGAGTTCAGTAAGGTGGACTGACGCAGGAACGATGAGTCAGAGCCCCTCCCCTCACGTTTGTGGGACGGGAGCCAGATTGTGGGAGTGGTGGGTGGCCCTGCTGGACCGGAGCCCAGAGCCCCATGGAGGGTCTCAGGGCACTCCATGCTCTCAGGCCGGAGAAGGCAGAGGTGGTGCTTGCCCGACGCGGACCCCACCCGGGACAGGTGGGAGGACCCAGGGCCACCTGCCTAGGGTCAGGCCAGGGGCTGGAGAGGATCCTGGCCCTGTGGTCCCCGGGCACACCGAGCGCCAGGCACATCCTGTGCAGGCCATTGGTTGCCCTGCGCGAAAGATGGCGTCTGTCCGTCGTGCCTCCTGCGTGCGGGATGGGGCGGGGTGCACACTTGGTGTGGGGTTCCCATGGGCCGTGGCGCACGTCGGAGATAGACGCAGGAGCAGACACAGTGCAGCTATGGTGGTCACCTACACGCACCATTCAGGGGCCACTGAGGCTGAGGGCAGGGGGCAGCTGGCACAGGCACCAGGTGCCGCCACGGACATGGATGGGGGCGGGGGACACCGGGCACAGCCCAGACGGCCACGGAAGCGCTCGGCAGCCTGAGCACGTGATCACGTGTGCTCTTCCCCCACTGCCCAGGTTGAAAGCGACATTTCGGCGTTCACGTACGAGAAGACGCTGTTGATGGAGCAGCGGTCCCAGATGCTGAAGCAGATGCAGCTGTCTAAGACAGAGCAGGAGAGAGAGGTGCGCGCGCAGAGTGTGGGTGGGCGCCTGGCCCCCCACGCACACACAGCGGCGACAGCCCCCCTGAGCCGCGTCCTTGTGAGTGTCCAGCCGCACCGCGTAGGCCTGACCTGCAGCACCAGGTCTTGGCGATCACAGGAACCATCTGTCCGCACGCCTGGTTTTCTGAATGTCTGGGAGGCTCGGTTCTGCCCCTGTTACCTCTCACACCCAGGCTAGGGTCGGGGCCCCTGTCCGCTCACACGGGTCTGCCCAGAGCCAGTGTCCTCCGGCCATCCCAGCTCTGTTCCTGCCCGAACCGCAGTGGCCCCCACCGGGCCTCCCTCCTCCCTCCTGTCCCTCGTCTGGCCGGGAGCCATGGTGAGCCCGAGAGCCGGCCTGCTGAGCCTCCTCCGGGCGCCATCCTGGACCTCCCTTACGTCACCCCACAGTTTCTCTGTCCTGGTTCCTGTCATCCCCTTGGCCCCAACTCCATCAGCGCACCTCTGGGTTGTGGTCTTGTTTGAACATGGCCTGTCCAGCCTGTCCTGGCGATGCCAGCGTCCTCATCCCGCACCTGCCCCACCCGAGACCAGGGCTCCCTGATTTTCTCTGTGCTGTTGACGAGTGAGGGGGTGGGTGGACGGAAAAACGGGGAACAAAGGACCGAGAGACAGATGGACAGCTCGGGCGGGCTGTGTGTGTGGTGCTGTATAAAGTACAGACTTCGGGTGCAAATGTTCCTTTGTGTTGTCATGGAGGCGTGGGCCATTCTCAGTGGCCTTCAGAGCTGGGGCAGGAAGAGGGCTGAGTTTGGTGTGGATGCCCAGGAGGAGGGGGACCAGCTGGGGCTGGAGTGGCATCGTGACCCCTGCGAGGGAGGGCTGGTCCCTGGGTCCTGGCATCTCATCCTCCCGTGTCTTGGGAGTGAGTTAGAGCGAGGAGGTCACAGAATGGGTCCTGTCACCGTGCCCTGCTCTCCCGCCAGGCTCAGCTCATCCATGACAGGAACACCGCATCCCATTCCGTGGTGGTCACCAGAACCCAGGCCCCGTCCACCCCAGACAAAGTGCAGATGACCTGGACCAAGGAGAAGCTGATTGCGGAGAAGTACAAGAACAAGGAGCCGGGCGTTTCCGGGTTCAAGGACCTCTTCAGCCTGAAGCCGTGAGTGTCGGCCCACGGGCCCGGGGGCTGGGGAGGGGAGGGTTCACGGTTCAGGGTTACTGGCTGCAGGCACTCCCGGGGACAGCAGTCACGGGGATTCTGGCGTCTGTCTCTGCCGGGTCCCAGCCGCTGGCGGTCAGCGCTCATGGGGGCTGGGGACTCCCAGCTGTGACCCCGCCGTCTGCAGCCTGCCCACGGGGGACAGAGTTCGGCCCGTGGAATGGGGCCAGGCACCCCCAGGGCTGGCATAGGTGGGGGGAGGGCCCGGGGGTCAGGCCCCCTCATGGAGAAGGACCAGGGGGGCTTGGGGTGGGCAGTGGGGATGTGCCCAGTGTTCACAAGTGTTCCTCACGTTCATTCCCGAAGTAACTCGTTCTTTGTGTTTTCTCTCCTGCCTAGAGAATGGGGAAGCCTGTAAGTGCTCTCGCTCATTTAGGGTGCTTCTCAGACCTGCTGCCTCGCATGCTTGCCCACGTGGCTCTCGGGAAGTGTGTGTGCACGTGTGTGCAGCCGTGTGTGCGTGTGCGCACGTGCCTGGGGCGGAGTTGGGCGTCGCTGGCTCCCATCTGTCCCGACGGCTCAGGGCACAGCCGGGCTCCATGCTTCCAGGCACGGACGGTGCCGTGGGGAAGGCGGGTCCTGAGCCGGCGCCAGAGCAGAGAGGAGCGGGCGCAATCGGCGGCTCCGTCCGCATCTGGGGGGCTGAGCGTCCCCGGGGCTCGAGCATGTGGGTAGTCTCTCCGCTCTGGGGGTTGCGGAACCTCCTGCTCCCGGCCCTGGGTCCCCTTCACCCAGGAAGCTGCTGGCCGGGGCGTGGGGAGGGGCATGGGCGGGCTGCGTGTGTGCTGCAGTGCTGGGGGGCAGCCGGGCGGGCAGGCGGGGGGCCTGCCTGAGGCTGCCGTGCCCCCTGCCCCCCAGCGCCTGCGGGTGTGCCCCCTGCGGAGGGGCGGCGGGCGGCTGCCCTTCTTCTGTAGCCTTTGGAGCCCCCGTGGAGCATGCACCCCGGAGATGGGCGCACATGGGCGTGGAGCATGTGAAGCCGTGTGTGGCGGGATCTGCAGGGCAGGCGGGTGCACGGTTCCCCGTCTGTTCTGGTCGCCTGCAAACCAGGCGCACTCCTGCGTGAACCCTCAAGAAAACAAAAGCACGGAGACGCGGGCATAGGGTTTCTTGCCTAGAACACCGTGTGAGTGGTGGGCCTGCTAATGCCGTCGCCGGGGTCCGTGGGGGCTCCCGGTTGAGGGCTCGGCTGGGGTAGCTTCAGGAGGAGCGGAGGTTGGCCTGTAGGTGGCACGGGACTGACGGGCAGGGGTCGTTGGCTGTGGGCAGGGGTGGTTGGCTGTGCTCTGGGGCCTCTGTCCACACAGCTGCTTGTCTGATGCAGCCCTCGATGTGCCGGCACATGGCCGGCAGCCGCTGCTGGGCCCCAGGCAGCCCACCACCCCCAGAGTCCACTTGGAGGCTGTTTCAAAAGTGCTTCAGTGCCACATTCAGTGCGAGGGTGACCAGTCCCCTTTCTTGGTTCTTTCTCGGCCAGCTGCTGGGAGCAGAAGCAGGTTTCTGCTGGCTTCCTGGAAACACGGGGGCCATGCTGGCCATCTCCGCACCCCTGTGACCTCAACAGGGCACGTCATCCTGGAGCTTAGAGCCCTTCCAGCCAGACCCAAACCCCTGATTTTAAGATTATATGTGTTCTCAGACTTTTAGCCGTAAGGGATCCTTCGATATCACAGATGCTCATTTCTGGAGTGGCTCTTGTCCCCAGACACTGGTAATTGTGGTCTATCCAGGCAGCCAACTCGTGGTTCTTGTGATGGAAGGTCCCTGATTGTGCCATGGACAGGTGCCCAGTCTGTAATTTCATCAGGAGAAACTAGACAGACAGAGGGGGTCCAGCTCCCTGTTTTCCTCCTGGGAACTGGTGGTTGTGATGGGGTGTGTTTGGTTGAGCCGGTGACAGGGTGTGGCCTCCCCGACGAACACTGTGCAGTGGCCTCTTGTCTATCCACCCGTCTGGGGTGCAGTGACCTGCTCTCAGCAGGGCTGTGGCCGGGCTGCCCGCGGATCCTGTCGTGCAGCTCACCCGGGGACCGGCGGAATTTCCAGGGTTTTCCAGCTCAGGGGGCGGTGGACATCTTGGAGGCAGTCGGCCCTCCATGGCAGCGTCTCATGAGTGCTTCCTGGGACATGCTCAGTACTGCGGGGACCCGTGGCCGCGTGGTGCACATGGGATAGATGAGGATGAGGCCCCCTGGGTGCCTGAGCACCAGGGAGTGCAGGCAGCAGTCAGGAGTCTGCCCGGCATGCTTGGAGGACCATTGGTGGAAGCCTGTGACAAGGGGTTAGAAGAGTTTGTCCATCCGTCCTCTGCCGAGGGCAGCAGTGTCCAGGCGGCCAAGACCCAGTGTGAACCCTTTTGGCTTCATTTCTGACCGGAATCCCTGGCCTGGGTGCCGGGTGCCTGGGCTGCTTCTGCATGGCGTCTCAGGGGTCTCTGGGGACTCCTGCCCCTGTTGGGACCAATGAGAAGCCCCTGTGTGCTCCACTGGGGGGCTTAGCTCAAGGCCACATGCGCGGCAGGGCTGGGCCTGGCCTTCTGGCTGGGGTGCACGAGTGAGAGCCCTTCATGCCCAGCAACGCGCAGTGTCCAATGGACTCGCGTAGATGCAGAAGCTTGGGGTTTTAGTGATGCCCCCCCCCGCCCAGAACGTTGAGAGACCGGAGCACTCTCGTGGGCAGGTGACATCCGGTTGGGGCTTCCCAGCCTCACACATGGAGGCTCCTCCCCTGTGGGTGTTTGTGGGGAGCTTACCCCACTTGACTCCTGCTCTGTTTCCCTGGGGCTGGGCTGGAGCCCTGGGTGACCCTCTCCCACAGGAACCAGTCCAATGTCCGGAGAATGCACACGGCCGTGAAGCTCAACGGGGTCGTCCTCAGCAGGTCCCGGGGTGCGCAGCTGGTCCTGCTCAACATGCCAGGGCCCCCCCGGAACCGTCAGGGGGACGAGAACTGTATCCTTTGTGCTACAGCCCGCTCCCCGGGGATGGGTGGGGCATGTGGGGCACGGCTTCTCTTGCTTGAGGGTTCTTGGGGTGGGGGCAGGGGTAGGGGGCCCAGAACTTCCACCCCTGGGCTGGACCTGCGACCTCGGAGTCATGGGGAGCAGACTGCCCCCTCCGGTCTGGGTGCCAGAAAGCAGCATCTGGGGGCCCTAGGTGAATGGTTCTTGATTGGTTTCGAGTGTCTATACCTGGGGGGTGTCCTGGGCCACTCAGACCCTCAGTGGAGACCCTGGGACGCACAGGGCCTCAGACCACGAGTGAGCAGAATGCAGACACAGAGCCCCGGCCCCGAAACGCCCACCATGGGGCCCATCACCACATCCCTGACCCCGGACCGGACGCGCCACGGCACAGTGAGGACCTCTGGTCCTGGGACAGGTTTGGTGCTGGCTTCAAGCTCCTGTCTGGTCGGCTCCCATGCTGGATGTCGTCCTTGAGATGTGGAGCCCCATGTCCCGTTTGTCCTAGACAAGCCACAGTACATGTGGTTCCCCATCCCCCAGTCCCTCTCAGCTGGGGTGCCTCCTGGTTGGGTGGAGGCTGCCAGGCCTGACCTTGGAGGTCACAGGTTGGCTCTACCCGGAGCTGGGCTCACGCCCTTAACCGTGTGTCCTCCGGGTAACGCCCCTGCCCTCCTCTCTAACCATGGGAGGCAGGGGAGGGGGCCAGCAGGTGGCTCCTGGGCTTCGAGCCTTGATCTGACCATAAGCTGGAGGACTCTGTGCCTGTGCCTGGTTGGTGACACACTGGGACTGGCGGGCCGGTGGGTTCTTGGCAGACTCTACTGTCTGCTCCCGGGGCCCCAGGGTGCAAGCGGCCTCCCATTCCCAGTTGGGCAGGTGGGGGAGCTGTTGACCCTGAGCATCTGTGGGGCACCTGGCTGTGGCCCGTGGTGGGCAGGGTTGGCGTCACAGCCTGCGTGGCGGGGCCGTCTTCCCGTGTGTGGATCTCTCTGCCAGGGAGTACCATTGGCACAGCCAGCTGTGTCCTTAACTCGGTCACCCCAGATATGGAGTTCCTCGAGGTCCTGACCGAGGGGCTTGACAGGGTCCTTCTGGTCCGGGGCAGTGGCCGGGAGGTGGTCACCATCTACTCCTGACACTCAGCCCACCCAGGAGCACACTGGGCAGGCTGGGGATCGTGCCACATGTGGCTTCCTACAGAAGTTCCCAGAATAGCCCCACAGCTCTGCTCCCTAGGCCAAGAGCCAGCACACAGCTGCAAAGATTTCCTCGTGTGGAGGGGAGGCGTGGATGCGCTCAGCATGTCATGTGCCCCCGAGGGAGGCTCACGATGACACGGGACAAGACCAGTAGCACTGGCCACACGCTCAGACTGTGGGTTCCAAAGGTGGTTTCTGTGGCCAGACCTACCTGGTTGCCATGGTTATGTTTAAGTTCTGCCCCACCCAGGACACTCACGAGAAACCCTGCTCAGACTTAGGGTCGTTTTGTGCCACAGGTCTGTTTAGGAAGGTGGCCGAGGGCCTCAGTCCCTTGGTCAGCCTCCTCAGCGCCTGTCCCTGTGAGTGCCTGTTTGTGTTCCTGTAAGTTACGGCCGAGGAGAGCCGTCCGTCCGGGCTCAGCTAGGTGGCCTTGGTCAGCCTGCCTGCCCAGTGCAGGAACGTCTGCAGGAGGACGCGGGTGGTCATCATGTGTGGGCATGTTCTGGGGGTTCCGGCTCCAGGAAGCTGCCTGAGGGACAGAGGCCCAGCTGGGTTTGCAGCTGGGACGTGAGCCACGTCCTGCACAGGCGACCAGGCCCGGCCTCTGTGTGTTCACCCCACGGCTCCCCGACCGGCATGCACACGCCCATCGTCCTCCATTGCCACGCACCAGGCTCCACGGAGGGGCCGCGGGGCCGCGTGAGGTCCTGGGGGACTTGAGCTGGAGCCCGCGTGCCTGCCCCTCCGGCCAGCACACAGGATGGTGACAGCCACGCGCAGGGCACTGGGGGCTGTTGGGATGGTCCAAGGCTGTCGACGGTCGTGGTCATTGTGCCCGGGCCTCACTGCATGGTGTACTTATTTATGAAAGCACCTCGGGGCTCTCCGGTGATAATTCGGGGTGTCTGTAAGGAGACCAGTTCTGTGAACAAGCCCATGGCTTCGTCCTGGGCTCTTCCTGGCTTTCTTGGACCCCCAGGGAAGTCGGCCAGGTCCATAGACTTCCGGTTGGGTGGAGGCTAAATGTGTGTGTCCAGACGCTTTGAGGCGCCTTTGGGTGGCACGGAGGGTCCACGTCGCATCAGAGTGACCATGGCTAGAGCGTGTGCCAAACCAACACACCGGGCTTGGAGTGTCCATACTCTCCTGCCGTGGGTCTGCACCGGGGTCAGTGGTGAAACCCATTTCCCTGGCCCTCGGTTCCCCTCGTGTGTCGGGGTCGGAGGCATGGCCCTGGGACCCCCGGGACCCCTACCCTGTACCCATGACCTAGACCTTGTGCGGCTGCGGGGGTGGGGGCTCAGCCGCATGCACCCCTGTCCACACGGAGCCTCGAGGAAGCCTGTGAGCCGCTGGTCAGGGCCCCATGGGGTTCTGTAGCTGCCTTGGCTTTGTATGATTTTGTTGTTAGAAGAATAAATGGTACAAAACCTGAGCCGGTGGACGGGTCTCGTGTAGATGGGCCGGCGGGGACAGCGCCTGGGTCCCTGGCTTGCAGGTGTTCCAGTCTGACCACAGCTGTCTCAGGCTGCATCGCTGGTGCAAGAGGAGGGAAGGGCAAGGCTTGGGTCTGCGGGAAAGTCCGAGAACTTAGACGTTCAGCATGAGAATGGGATGCAGCCACGTGCCAAGGTCGTACCTTCTAGAAAGGGGGGGCTCCGTGGGCAACACCCGGCACTGGAGGGGACCCCTTATTCCCGCGTCCAGGCCCAGGCATGAGTGCTTACCACGCTCTCCCGGAGCCCACCGTCGTGGCTGGGGGCGTGTGCAGGCGCTTCCCGAACCGTGAGACCCTCCCGACCCCACCTTCCCGTTCCCAGAGCCGCAGCAGGGAGACCTGGTGTCCCCACGTGCTCACAGCAGCCAAAACGTGCAGAAGCCTGGCATCAGCCCTTGGTGAGGGGGAAACCACGGGGTCTGTGCGTTCCGGGGAACGAAGTTCTAGCTGCCTCGGACGTGGGGTCACGCAGAAAGAGACCATCGGGGCACACGTCCTAGGCTAACGTTTACGCGTGATGCCCGCCTGAATAGACGGGGCCAGGAGCAAGCTGGTGACCGCCCCTGGGGGGGCACGTGGGCACAGTGGGGACTCGTGACTGCAGGCACGGGGCTGCTTAGGGGGTGACATAGGTGTGCCGTGGGGGGGTGTGAAATCTGCATGTTCCGAACAACTAAGGGGCTGGGCACCCTGGGGAGTGACCCTTCCTCAGTCCCACTGGGAGCCCTGGCCCAGCCCGGGGCGCCCACACATGTGACTTGGAGTGGAGGCTTGGCCTTTGTGGCCGGGGACCCAGATGTCACAGGCATGGAGACGGCGGGATTGGGGGGATGCTGGTGGAGATGCAAGGGGAGGACCTGGGAGAATCCGGGGTCCTGACTCCGCCTCCGGTGCCCGGTGCCCTCGGGCAGTTCTGTAGCTGCGGGAGTCTGGACAGTGTGGGCAGCAGAGCAGAGCGACCGCCCTGGGGCTTCAGATGGGGTGTGACAGCGCCTCAGAGAAGGTGGGCAAGCCCTGTCACTGCCAAGAGGGACTCCAGCCCCCACGAGCCGGAGTGGCCATTGTGCCCTGAAGTTGTGACCGAGACGCTTCTGCACAGCTGTGAACCCTCCGTCCTCTGTCCATGGCTCGGGGAGGCAGCCTCTGCCAGCCCCTGGGTGTGGGGAAGCTGGGACAGACGGCGGAGGGGAGGGTCAGATTCTCCGGGCACAGGCAAGGGCAGGTGCAAAGGCCCTGAACAGGCACAACCTGAGGGGGGCGGGGCTCTGAGGCAGGACGCGCCAGGCAGCCGGAAGCCGTGCCTGCGGTGTGGACGTTGGAGGCTGTGGTGCCCGCAGCAGGGGGCAGGGGCCCTACTGGAAACAGGGCGGGTCAGGGCGCAACAGGGCAGGGAGGGGCTGGACTTCAGCACCGGGGGGCAGGGCCTCTGGGCCTTGGGCCCTTGCTGCAGGCTCTCCCCTCTGACCTGTGGCCCCAGGCTGGCGGGACGGGAGGGACGTGAGGCCAGGGCAGGTTGGGGGACGCTGGCCTGCACGGTGGATGTGGCCCAGCCAGTGGCACTGGAAACGTGGCCGTGTTCACGGGGCGGGGGTGGTAAGGAGAAGGCTGTGTGCTGCTGGTTTCCAGCGCTCCTCCCGGGCGGAGACAGTCACAGCGGAGCATGTGTCCTCAGTGGAGACCATGATGTCAGCGGCCCACATGAACTCAGGATACACGCTTGGCTGCTGTGGGGACCCCAGGCGGACAGGCGTCCCCTCCTGGCAGGACTGGGCTGGGTGGCACCGCCTGCCTGGGGGTATCACCCATGCCTGGCGCTTCTGGGGCCCCTTCCTCCCTGGGCCAGACCTTGCATGTGGTCCTTGCTGGCCCCATGCCTCGGCTCCTGTACCCAGGCGCTGGGGTCCGGCCCTGCCACTGCCTCTCCCGGGGCGGCTGGGGGCCAGGCAGTCCCCACACTTTCACCAGGACCTTGACAGGTGTTCAGGGCATGAGACGGCTCCTCTGGCTTTTCTTTGCGGGTTCCCCCCCACCCTGCGGTGACCTCTGCTGCCCCGAGGGAGGGGCAGGGGTGAAGGTGAGAGGAACAGGAACCAAGAGGTCCCAGTCTGCCCCCGTGGTCGCTGACGGTTGGGTGGGGTTACGTGGCTGGGAGACATGTCTGCTCCGGGGCCGCTTGGTGGGTGGGCTCCAGCGGCCCTGCCTGCCACAGGGGGTCTGTCCCGAGAGAGGGGCCCTGGCAGGCATGGTGGGCGGTGAGGATCTCCGTTCCGGGAGGCACCCCCCTGTGTGAACCCCCCCGTGGGCCCACGCGTGCCCCTGAACGTACCCCCAGGAGAGGAGCCACTAGGTGTTGGCTCCTACTCACGCTTCCAGGTGTCTCCAGGCGCTCGCACCCGTGCACGCCCACCCGCCAGCCCCCTGGGGCCTCCTGCACGTGCCGTGTTCGCCGGAGGGATCCGGTTTCGGTCAGGCGTCGGTTTCTCCGTGGGGACCCACTTGTCCCATCACTGTGTGGGGAAAGATACGGCCCAACCTCCATAGGGCCACAAATTCAGTGGCTGTACTTAGGGGCTGTGTCGGGCCTCCTGCTCCTCTCCGGGACTCGCTTTGCCTGGCCTCAGTGCACCACGTTCATTGCCATGGCTGCGGCATGTCCCAGCGGGCCAGGCCTTCACCGCGCTGAGCGTGTTCTCACCCCTTAGCTCTCCTGGGCATTTCAGGATCAGAAATCTGGCTGAGCGCGCACCGGGACTGAGTTACGGCCTCGAGCCGCCTGCGTTGACCCTCCCACGCACACGCCACGCCCCTCCATTTCCATCTTTCCCAGATGACTCCCGATGGAGTTCACGGTGCCGGTGCCGAGATCCTGTCCGTCTAGGCGTTTGGCATTTGGGGGTTGGTGTAAGCGGTCTCGTGTTAGGGTTCCGCAGAGAAACAGACGCTGTAGCCCACGGAGATGCAGGAGCTGGCTCCCGTGACCTCCGAGGCCTGAGTCCTGAGATCCTGGAGCTCTGGGGTGCGTGGGAGTAGCCGGGACGCCGCAGCTCAAGCTGAGAGAATCGGTCCTTCCTTGGCCTTTTTGTTCCATTCTGGGCCGGATGGGTCAGGTGGTGCCTGTGCACGGGGAGGGCTGCCGGGTCAGAAGCACCTGCATAGACGTCAGCCCAAACTCTGGTGCTCCCAGGCAGAAGGTGTGGGGAGGGTCTTGGTGTCCAGTGGGGACTGTCACTCGCTGTGTGCAGAGTCTCTCCGGTGGTTCTGAGTCGTGGTTCTGGACCAATGACATCGAGGTTCCTGGGAGTTTGTCAGGGACGCTGGTCGCAGCCTGGCCATGACCCCAGGTCTTGGGGATGAGGTGTGCTGCGGGGACTGGCCTGTCCACGGTGCTCCTCCTTGGGCAGAGGCCGCCCTCTCCAGGTCCTGTCCTCAGCCCCAGCGCGGGCACCACCAGCATCTGAGGACGCCACAGGAAGCGAGAGGCTCCTTCCCAGCTGCCTCCTGGGGCAGCGCCGCCCTCCCCCTCCTCCCCTCCCCCCGGCTGACCGGGAGACCGTCCTGCATCTAGGGCTCATCCCGGGCGGTCCCTCTGCCTCCCCCAGGTGTCTGCCCCTACCCTCCTCTTGTGCTCTGAGACCCCTTCTTCCTAAAACCACGGCTCTTCTCCAGAACCTCTGGCCAAAACCCCCACCCAGCAGCCCACACCCTTCCTGACACTCCAGGCCCGCGTCCACCCGCCCCTGCCCACAGCCCCAACTTGGGACCCTCAGCCGGTGCCCGGCACTGCCCGCCCTCCCAGCTCTGCGGGACGGGGGCATCCGTGTTCCCAAACCCCCTGGGGCGGGGCAGGCGAGACACCCTGACTCCCACCCGCACGCCCGAGCAGCGCCCACGCCTCTCACCTTCCCTGGATCCCTGGGCCCATCCTCCCCGTCCTCCTAGCCTCTG